AGTCTTTGGTAAGTTAAAAACTACAGTTCCCAGAAAACCCAGCTCTAAACAACAGTCGCCATGGTAATACAAATTAAAACGAGATATTTGGTATGAGATATTCACCATCTCTTAATTGAGTAACACGTTTTGGATGCGAATCGGAACCAAACTGGCGATCCCAGGACAGGGAATGTTTTAGATGAACTTTGCCCTCTCCGTTTCCATGGTGCCCAGGCGGCCAGGGGCGGGAGACCGCACGAGACGAGATGGGCCGGTGGAAGCTCTAGAAACGTCTAGGCGCGCGGCTGCTGCGTCATTGCGCGAGAACGAGGAGGAGAGACACGCGAGGAGAAGGGAGATCAGCTCGGAGCTTCGGCGGGTTTTTATTTTTAATCGCTCGTTTTTTTACTTCGTTCAGAGTAAATACACCTTTCTGTCAGATAACGAGAAACAAACAGCAGAGCAGCACTCCGGAGAGTAGGAAACATCTGAATAAGATAACCAAGATGTAAGTCGATGGGGGTTGGAATGGACTGAGGGGAGAAAGGGGCGAATCACTTACGGCGGTTTTTATTTTTTTAATTCTTTTCAGGGGTGCCTAGAAAAATTTGGACCAGAGTAAGGTTCCCTGTTCCACACACACACACACTCACGTTACACAGTCGTCTCTCAGGGGCAGCGGGCAAGGCAGAGAGCAGGCGAGCGCGGTATAGGCCGCGCTTCACGTTGAGCGCCGGGGTGTCTCTCGGGCGCTTGAAAACGTAGCTTTTGAAAAGGTGCGACTGGTCGTGTGCCCGCCTGCAACCTATTTAGGGGGCGTGGAGGTTGTGTGAAAGGGTATTTTGGAGAAATACTGGGCTCATTTGTTCGATATTGTCCGGATCTGTAGCAGGTAGCGGGAGGCTCGACCTCCGCGCTGTAGGAGCATGTCTGCTCGCTGGGGAGAAAGGAGAGGGGGGAATACAGACACGCTCAGCGGGACGGGATGCAAACGGAGGTGGTCGCTAACAGCTTCTTTTGGAGGACGTATTCTGCATTTATTTAATTATGCTTGTGGCTTGATGGCTCGGGGGCCGTGCATTTCCTATCAAATTAAGGTTTTTCTTGCGCTGGGGTAGCAACGCAACGAACTGCACCCGCCCCTCGTGTGGCTGGGGGTGAGATACTTTTAGGTCAGCTCCGATGTTGGGGTAATCGCGCTGTAATCGCCCCAGATCATCAGGGTAGATCTTTCTGGGGGGGTATATGCCTCCCAAGTCCCGCAACGTGCCGTGGTGTTTTTACACGAAAGTGAAAGTGCCGCGATGCACGCCGGGGATAATGAATGAGAAGATGTCTGCCTGCCGAGCGGGGTTTTGTGTGCCGATATTTATTTTCCGTTGCGATTTCATAGAATGAAATCTCTGCTAGTCTCATTGTTTGCGTCTGTGTGCTCTGAATATTTGGTTGTATTTACATTAAACGTACTTGTTCGATTGTGTAGTAATTTACCAGTTGCGCCTGAATGGCTTAAAAAAAATAAAGATAAAACAGGACGGTTTCGACCTTGAGAACCGCTAAAAAATAGCCTGGCGTGAACATGGTTGTGCTGATGGAGTACCCAGCAGCTGGGACTGAAGTCTTCGGGCTGCACAGTCAGTTCATGGCCACCGCCTGACAAATGCATCTCGCCTGTTGATGGCGGCCCGGTCCGGCCCGGTCCACGTCGTCTGCCTTGGGGGGAGGGGGGGGGAGGTCACATGACGAGCCGGGGTGTGCGCTGCCCGGCCCCTTTGAACCCGAGCTCGGGGGTAATAGCAGGTAAATATGAGCTGTGGGTGAGGTGAGCGTCCGTCGCCTGTAACTACAGAACTACAGCTTGCCATGATGACCTGCTGTTGCTCCTGTGCTGCAGCCCATCTGTGACACAGCTCTTCTCCCAGCTCACTCGAGGCCGCACCAGCCCTCCACGGGGGCGTCGTCCAGACATGGGCACGGTGGGGTGGCCGCTATCAAAAGTCAGGAAAACTTTTAAGTGGCATAGGAGACGTCCAAGCAGGGAGCTGGGGCAGCAGGCATAGGCTGCAAAGGAACAGGTAAAGGTTTATTACAGGCTGAGAGGAGAAGGAAAGATACGCGGTGGTTCCCGGCTGAGCACCCGAAGAAGGCTCCACCGCTGAAACGTTGTCTCTTTTCTTTTCCTTTCAGCATAGAATAAACTTTACCTGTTCCTTGAAGTAGTGTAGTGTTTTTGCTGGTATTCAATACTTTGATTGTAAGTTCACTTGAGCAGGTAGTGGGTGAGTGCGTTTGCCTGACTGTGGAAGTTGGTAGGCTGTTTTTAGGCTACCTGTTGTTGGGTTAAGAAGGTGCGATGTCCTGCAGTGAACTCCCCGGGGAAAGAGCGGAGCTCCTTCCCGGAGGAGAGGAGTCCTTGGAAACGTTGGAAGATGTGGTTCCGGTGTGCTGTCGAAAGTCTTGCAGAGCTTGAAGAAGTGTGGCCACATAGTAATGAGCACGGAAGGGGGTCGAGGAGAAGTGAACTGGGTGGAGTTCTGGTGTTTTATCCAGCCGTGTGTTTTCAGCCTGCACTGGATTTGCACATCTGGGCTGTGGCTTCTTGAAAGCTTTTCTGTCGGATTAACTTTACATTGAGCTCTAATTTTGAAAGCCCTGGTTCCTGGTTCACAATTGAATATCACTCACGCACTCTGATCTTGCAAAGGTAAACCTATCTGCCTTCAGAGCATCCATTTTCTAACTGCTTTGTCCAATTCAGGGAGCTGGATCCTGTTCTGGCAAGTAATGGGCATAAGGCAGAGTACTGCCTAGATGTGATACCAATCCGTCACACACACTCACACCAGGGTCAGTTTTCCCAGAAGCCAATTAACCTACCACACAGGGAGCACCCTAGTTTCAGAAGTGAACGCATGCCCCCAGGGTTGTGAGGTTGTGAGGCAGGAGTGCAAACCACCGTGCTGCCCCATTACAGAGCGGTTTGAGCCATTTCAGTTTTCACTTGCTGTAAGGTGGTTGTGCGTAAGCTGGGATCTGGAACAGCACATCGACTTGAAACCCTGCTTTGCAAATGTTTTGCTTACACATGGTGTGTGAAGTCATTTTCTTTTATAACCTCTGCTGTTGTGTTCAAGCCCACCAGCTGCTAGAGTGTAAGCAGTGTTGTCTTCTCCCGTTGCTTTATGCCACTCGTGGATGAGTGCAAACCACTAATTACGTGGCCTCCTGCCTGTCAGAATGAACTCCTCAATCCTCTGCCCCACACACGCATCCACACACGTGGTTGGCCATAATTCTAGCTGCTCTAGCTCTAGTGAGTCAAATATTCGTGTGAATTGAAACAGTCGCTCGGTTCCCAGAAGACTGTTCGTGAAGCTGGGACAGGCATCCATAGTTGAACTGTTGAAGTATAGCTGTTCTTTTGCCAAAGGGTATTGAAGTGGCTTCCTTTCTCTTTGTCTTGCATGTTGGGAGCTGCAAGTGTGCTTTACCTGCTCCCCTCAGCTTAGACGCCAATGCTGTTTCCTCCAGTAATCCAGTATGTTGGGACCCACTGAATTCCTCTGGGGGGTTTTCAGCCAGACGTGTGATTGGAGTTTTCCTGAAGAGATTAGGAAAGTCTTTTTACTGTGCTGCTGTGTGTGGTTTAAGGGACATGGATGTGGGCGGTTAATGGGAAAGTTGTTTTGTCGGTTGGTGAAAGTAGCATGTGTTATTTTAGTCGACAGGTAAAAGAAAGTGCCACTGTGCCACCTGTTTCTCGCAGCGCAGGACTTATTCAGATGCTTTGGTAAGCCGTTGCCTATGGAATGAATAGCCCCGTGCTCTTCAGCTGGCGTCTCAATTCTTCAGTATCGATAGCATGTGGCAGACATGTTGTGCCTTTCTTTCTTCTTCCTTTCCTTTCCCTTCCTCTGGGACCACAGGCCTTTAAGGCTATCAGGTGTGCCTTTTCTGTAAGAGCACTGATGTGTCGCTCCATTGTCTGTGTAGAAGGAAAGAAAATTTTATGGTTCAAATAGTAACTTGGTGAAATCAAAATGCCACTCTGCAGTTTAGTTGCTGTACAAATGCTGCAGGAGAAGCTGGTAAAGACTGTTATCGTACAGTCAGAAGCAAGCTGTATAGGTCTGGGAGCTGGGTCGGAAATGTGAGTTCGATGGAGGCCGTCGTAAAGTGAGGGTTTGAAGCCGGTGGTCTTGATGGGGACACCCGGCTCTGCTCTCTCATCCCAGTGTTCTGTCGGACTGCCACCCCAGCCACAGGCACGTTGGTGGGCACCACAGGCTTTTGTCTTCTCGTGTTTGCTTAATGTTTTAAAGAGGAGTCTGCTTTTAGTGTTGACCCTAGAAAACAAAATCCAAGGAGCCAGTGCGGAAAGTCCTGGGGGGTGCGCACTCACGTCATTGGGGATTACGTCACGTCACGTCATTCCAGAAGTGAAAGCTGCTTCTGGAACTGTTTTGTGTGTTCTTTCCACAGGCAGCCTGCAAGTGCGAAGTGGTACGATAGAAGGGACTACGTCTTTATTGAATTTTGTGTAGAAGACAGCAAAGACGTCCAAGTAAATTTTGAAAAATCAAAGCTTAGTTTCAGGTAAACAACCCCTCTTTCATTCCTCATTTTACAGTAATTCATGCCATTCCCTTCTCTCATAACCACATTTATCCGCACAAATTGACTTGTATTCTGCTATCTGTAGTATTTACATCATTGGTGAGGTAGCATGAATTTTGCTCATATCTTTGGTTTCCTAGTCATGTTGTAGAATATGTTGTAATAAAGTTGAAATGTTAACCACAGCTACATAAATTCCCTTTTTATTTGAAAGAAATCTCTTGCTGGGATAGCTGATCTTATTAGTATCCAGCTGTCACACTGGCGACAGTCTCTAAGTCTCAATAGATGCGTTGGCATCCGGAAGAGAACTTGATGGCTGAGCAGCATGATAACCTGCAGGACATACTGTACTGTATAGTACTCATTTCTTTGTTTCTTTTTTTAGTTGTCTTGGTGGAACAGACAGCCTGAAACATCAAAATGAAATTGAACTCTTTGAAGGTATCGATCCAAATGTAAGTGAGACATTTCCATCAGCGAAGAAGTTGCTTTCCATTGTGTCATTCTTTCCATTCGACCATATCCGTGTTCTTTAACAGCTGTTTGTAGTTTCAGACTGCTTCCAGTCCCTGTGCAGAAATTGGCACTTTTGGAATCGTTCTGACCAGTCTCTTATTTTCAACCTGCAGGAATCCAAAAACAAACGCACCGATAGGTCTGTGTTGTGTTGTTTACGGAAAACAGAATCTGGGAAGTCGTGGCCGAGGCTAACGAAAGACAAGGCGAAGGTCAGTAACCTCAGCACTCATTGGTGGGCTGTGTTAGTGTGTCCTGGTGCTCCAGAGCAGAGCACTGCTTGTCCTGTTGCCCCCAGTATGGGAGAGGCCCTTCGGCTGGGGGATTTCCGCCAAAGCAGCTGTGCCCAAGGTGGGGGCATCATTTGGGTGTCCCTTAGCTTCCTCACAGCCTCAAGACCTGTGAACGTTTTCCATTCCAAGATAGCAATGAATCGTCCCTCCATTTCCTAACTGCTTGTTCAGGTTCAGGGTTGTCAGGGTAGCCCAGAGCCTGTCCTGGCAAGCAGTGGGTGCAAGGCAGGGTACACCCCTGATGCCTGCCCATTGCAGGACACACAGATGCAAACACACTCTCACACCAGGGACAGTTTACCCAGAAGCCAATTAATTTAACAGCATGTCTTTTGTCTGTGCGAGGAAACCAAAGCACCCAGAGAAACCCACATGATCATGGGGAGAACGTCCAAACTCCACACAGATAGTAGCTCAGGTTGTAACTTAACCCATGGCCCTAGCTTTGCAAGGCAGCAGTGCTGACTACTGTGCTGCCGTGCTGCCCAGCAGTGAATCAAACAAGTTATGTTAACAGGTTTAGCCTAGTCCATGCTGTACTATTAAAGTCATTGAGGACTACGGAGAGGGCACGAGATCTTTGTAGCATGTTGTTAAAAGTCCTTCATGAAGTCAGTGGGTGGAAGAGGACTTTGCCTGCCTGGTTGACTTGGTGCCTGGCTTCCTCTGCGGAGTGACTCTTCTTTTCTGGAAAGCAGTGCGAGAGCTAATGGTCAGGCACAGCAGGCATGTTGTCCCAAGAAGCCCGTCTCCTCCTGAGTGGTGGTTCTAAAGTAACTCGTGACTCCACGTTCAGAAAACCAGATTCCTTTTCTCGGACGGTAGTGTTGATGTTTTGATGAGGCAGTCCTAAGGGAAGAGCAGGGGTGTCAGTAGGAATGAGGTGTCTCGTGGTCTTTGATTTGCTGAGTTAATCTTGTTATTCCGGCAGCTCAATTGGCTCAGTGTCGACTTCAATAATTGGAAGGACTGGGAGGATGACTCGGATGAAGAGCTGTCCAGCTTTGACCGTTTCTCAGAGGTGAGGGCACTTCGGAGGCTGAGTGATGGCACCTTACCTGTTCCCCCTGGGGTTTAGTGCACACGCCCCACCGTATGTCCTCCCCAAAACCCCTTTCCCCTCTCCTGATTGGCTTTCACCAGATTCCTCTAGTCCATCGGATCTTTTCTTCAAAGCACATTGCCACTAGCAGACTGTTTGATTGCTGTGGCAAGATGTCAGCGTGAACACAAGTGGAAGAACTGCTGTGTGCATGAAGCTCTTTATTCCAGCCTGTCTGTGTTTAACCTTCGTGGTGTTCTCCACAGATGATGAACAACATGGGGGGAGATGATGACTTACCGGAGGTTGACGGAGCAGAAGATGTAAGAAGTTTTTTTATTTTACAAGAGTTTTTCATGTTCATGTACATATGCCTTTCTCATATAGGCAACGTAATGCTTGAGTCCTGTGCAACGAATAATGTTCAATCCTGGCCGGCACCCTTCTATCCAGTATATGGTAAAATTTCATGGAGATTTTAGAGCAGTAAGTCACATGAAGAAATCTACCGTCGATGCAACTTGTTGATTCAA